GTAGGTATGCTGCTAGTTCTTCCTCCCCAGGTGCAGTACCCTGCACTTGTGCCATCCTGTTCTCATCCGCCAACCCCTGTAACCTCTCTAGGTCCAATTACAGCCTATTCCTTCCTTCTAGTGTGCCCACTTCACCCCACATCTTAGTGTCATCTGCAAATTTGAACCAGGTGCTTTTTACCTCTTTGTCCAAGTCGCTGATGAAGATGTTGAACAGTGCGGGCCCGAGCCCTGGGGGACCCCACTGCCCACATCCCTCCAGGTCAAATAAGACCTGTCCACCACCACTCTCTGGGTGCGGCCCTCTAGCCAGGTAGTGACCTATCTGACTGTGTAGGCATCAACACCACAGTCTCCTAGTTTTTTAATGAGAATGGGGTGAGAGACCATGTCAAAGGCCTTCCTAAAGTCCAGAAAGACTATATCTACCGTGACATCTGCATCCAGGGATTTGGTGACCTGGTCATAGAAGGCCACCAGGTTGGTCTGACAGGACCTGCCTCTAATGAACTCATGTTGGTTGCCCCTAAGCATAGTCTCCCATGCTGGCCCCTCGTGGATATGTGCCAAGGCTGTGCAGAGAGCCTTGCTGGGCAGAAGCCTGGCCAGGAGCTCGGCACCTCCTGCCTTGGAGCCTACAATGGGAGCTGGGCGGGGGAGGCAGGGCAGACCAAATGAAGGAAAGGAGTAGCTACCTGGCCGGTGCTGCTGCAGCTGGCTACAGCACTCGGAAGGGTAATGGGTGAGAGGCACCAAAAGCCAGGGCACCTGCAGGCTGGGTACAATCCTCCTTCAGAGGAGCAGCCACAGGCTGGATAGAATCATCTGGCAGGCCAGATCCAGCCCACGGGCCATATTTTGCACACCCCTGGCTTAGACCAGGGGCTGTGGGTGCCAGGCCCTTGCTTCAGCCACTAGCATCACTACTTTTCTTGGGCCTCAAACCTATGTGCCTTTTCTTGGTCATGCAGGAGCAGGTGAAGAAGAACAAGGCATTTCGCCGGTTCAAAAAGCTTCAGGAGTCTCGACCTGAGTTCCTGGGCTTCAAGCTAGAGGACCTGCTCCCTCTGCCCCTGCAGAGGCTCCATCAGTAAGCAAGCAAGTGACCCTGGGCCTGCTGGTGGCAGGGATCCCCAGCGATGAGCCCTAATTAGAGGGGAAGAGAGGGGCACAAAGGCAGTAGTCTCCTGGCTGCTGGTGGACGAAGACAGAGCTAGTTGGAATGTTCCAGGTTTGGGTGCCTGAGCTCATTAACAAGTTGTGGGGGGTGTGCACGTGTGTATGTGTAGACATTCAGGGGCTTGGACTCTTGGAGGACCCTTGACGGTAGGTAATGTTTGAGTTATAGCTATGGGCTCTGTCATGTGGGTGCTGCCAGTGTACTGAAGTGGGACATTATAGGTTTCTGTCACTGCAGGCTCAGATCTGTCATCCCAGAGTTGGCAGGGTGGCAGGGAGAGGGCCTTGGGCTTTCCAGGCATTAATAAGACTTGGCAACTTGGCAAGGGCCATCTGGCCAAAGTGGTACTTTTTGGAGGCTGTGTCTGCTCTGCGTGGCAAATTGCAGATGATACTCTGTCCTGTGGTTTCTTGGCTGGGACTTTCCTGGTGCTTCTTGCCTTGGGGCGCCTGTCGCTTCCTAGAGATCGTCTTCCCAACTGCTGGCTGCATTTCCTTGGTCCTGGCCTGTGACGATAGAGGGGATGGGTGGACAGTCACTTGGATAGACAATAGTGGGGAGATGGGGGTGGCCACAGACTGAGTGGGTGGCAAAGTGGCTCAGCTGCCCGGGTGGTATGAGCTGAGTGGGTGTGTGGAGACCAAACAAGGAGGGGGTCATATCAGCTGGTGGCCTCTGCTCCTAGATGCAGCCTGGGGACACTGTGTGGGAGCCTCTGTGACTAGAGGGGGTGTGTGGGAGAAGTGTGTTGTTTCTGATTAGGGTCACAGCAGAGAGGAGAGATAGTCCCGTACTTTGTGGTGCTGTGCAGATAGGCCTGCCAGCCAATGTAGAGTGGGGAGAAATGGACTGAGGTGGAAACTGCCTGATGGTCTGCAAAGGGTGGGGGAGTGGTGATCCAGTCCTCCAAACTGACGGACCACCCCCTCCCTCTCTCTGTGGCTGGACTTGCCACATCCCTTGCACTGCCACTAATATGAGATGTTGCCATTCAAGCTGATCTCTCTGTCTGAACATCACCTTGCTGCCTACCTCCACTTTCATAGGTACAAGCACCTGCTGAGAGACCTGATGGAGAACACCAGCCCGGACTGTGCAGAGTTCCAACAGCTTGCAAGTATGAGATCCCCATGAGTGCTGCTTCCTGGGTTGGGACTGTCCCTTTACAAACAGTGAGAAGACCTTGCTGATGCTCTGCAGGTCTGTGCAGAGCCCTAGCAGCTTTGCCTCTCGCTGCCACCTTGACCAAACACTTCAGCTGCCTGGGCCTGTGCAGGGCCTGGCTAGCAGTGGGAAAGAGTCTGGGGAATGCATCTTTGGGGAAGGAGCTGAGGAAATGAGGTCACAGATGTGACAGACCCAATGTATTGGCCCATCCATCCCCTGGGCCGGTCCAGGGCCACTCCCTAATGTCTGCTTGCCTGTGACTTGTCAAAGGCCCATGTTCCAGTTGTGGGACTCACTTCCTTTCCCTTTCCCACTGTACCTATCCCTGGCTCCTGAACTGTGAGAGAGGATTTCCGGCCTGACACGTGTCACCAATGGGGAGTTGTTCTTCACTGCTGGATGTTCAGTTCCAATTTCCCTTGTCTTCATTATGTCCTGCTTCCTTGACCCAGGTGGGTGTGGACAGAGCATGGGGATGATGGAGGATGTGCTATGGTAATTTCAGGGGCTGTGAAATCCATTTCCAAGGTGTCTCACTGGGTTCATGACACTGCTCGCAGCCATGAGAACTCCCTGCAGCTGTTGCGAGTGCAGAAGCTGCTCAAAGGACGGAAGGTGAAGGTGCTGGCTCCAGGTGGGTCTTAGGCACATGTGTTTGCAGGTCAGACTATATGGTGGTGGCCCCCTTTGAACTCAAATGTCCATAAACAATCAGCTCACAGGAAGCAATCTTTCTTTTTTGTTCCTATCAGTTAGTGGCTTGTTGAATATGCAGGAAGACACGTATTCCCTTTTACCTGTCATCTGAGTTAATGTAGCTGTGCACAGGGAGCATAGTGAGAGCAAAGGGAAGTCTGTCTGTGTGTGTCTCTGTGTCTATCTCAATCCTGCTAAGTTCTTGGTGTGTCTAATTTGAACATTGGGTTCCCCTGGGTAACAGCATGGTGCACTAATTGTATTTCTTTTTATGAGTTTAAGTTTGCTGCCCTTCACTTCTGCTGTGCATTTCCTTGATCTCTTATTTTATCACTTCTGTATAATTAGAGAACCTGAGGGCCCCTGCCCTCCCCTGCTCCTTTTAATCCCATTATTTTGTATTGTTCTGAGCTGTTTTTTTCTTAGTTTTCTCTAAGGTAAACTTGCTCCTGTTAGTGTCTCTGAAATAATGAACCAATCTGAACATTGGTCTCCTGGTGCAGTGTCCTACACCAGCATTTTAAATCCATCCTTTCTCTCGTACAGCTAAAAAAATTTTCTAAGCCTATATTTGCATTTCAGAAAGAGGCTTTGTTGAGCTGGCTTAGCCGTGTCCAGGTACTTATCCTGAGTAGTTGGAGCTGACTTCAAACCCAACATCCTACTTAAGTAGCTTGACTTATTCCTTCTCATTGGCAATGTTTTCCTTTATCTCCATTAGTTCCACCTGACAGCTGTGTTTTCCTTTCCTTGTGGCCAGGGCGCTGGTATGTCCGGGAGGGCTGGCTGATGGTGGTGCCTGCAAAGGGAGAAGAGGTGAAGCGTAAGATGTTCTTCCTTTTCTCGGATATCTTGATTGCCACAAAGCCCTGCCACCCGCTGCACCTTCTCAATTCGGACAAGTTTGCTTGCCAAGCTGTTTACCCCCTGAGCCAGTGCACAGCGGATAAAGTGTTTGGTCATACCCAGGGGCACGGAGGGCTGCTCAGTGTAAGTTTCCCTCTGTTCCTGGCTATAGCTCCAGCAGCCTGCCATTCCTCTCTGTCTGCAAATGTTTTGTTCTCTGGTTTGTTAAAACTGGCTGTGGCATAAAAGCAGGTGCAGCTAACTCCTGTGACTAGTGAAGGGGCAGAGACAGGCTGTATGAACCTCCAGATTTAGTAGAAGCATGACAGAGGTGGGGCAATGCTGGCAATGGAAAATGCAGAGGGCTGGGCAATGCTAGGGAGGGTCATTGCAGAAGGGAGGAGGAGGAAAAGCAGAGCCCATTCCACTGGAGTGCAAGGCATGGTCCTCCCTGACCACCCTGTCCCTGGCACACAGCCTCTTGTCCCTGCTCCCCTGGGTCTCAGGGTGAGGGGCCCAGGGAAATCCAGGGAGTGGTGCCTGGGAGGACTGTAGCTAATGTGCCCTCCCTATACTAGTCTAGAATCAAGGCAGATCTGACTAGATTTGACACACCCCTGATTAGATTCAAGGCAACCCTTGGAACATGGAATGAGACTGGTTTCACAGCAGCATGGCAAGTTGGAGCCATCACAGTTGCTGGGACTGTCTCCTTGGGAGTCCTGCCCCCTCAGGCCAGAGGAGATGGCACTGGCACCACCACAGAACAGCTGCTCGGAATGACTTTTTCTGCTGCAGGATCTGCTAGTGGGGAGACCACCACTGAGGAACAACTTTTGGGGAAACTTGTGGTGCTTGGGGAGTTGTCTGGTACCTCCATTCTTCAGAGCCCTCGGGCTACGCTGGTATTTTGGGAAGGCCCTGGCAGGGAGAACAAGTATGCCTCACTAAGAGGGCCAGTCGGGGTGAGGGGATGGTAACAGGGTGAACAGTGCTTCTGGGCTGTGACTTGCTACCTAGTGGGTACTGGGAGGCTTTAATAATTTTGTGAGGTTCTTTTGAGGTCTGTGGCTGAAGGAACATGAGAAAGGTGGGTCTTAGGCTGCTTCTGGGCTGCCCAGCACATGGTGGCCTGTTACTGTTGCTCTCCTGCCTCTGGCAAGGGTGCATTGTACAAGCACTGGACTCAGCTTTCTCTTCCAGCTTTGCTTTCCACACAAGACCCTGCTGCTGATGTCGAGTGACCAGGAGGACATCAATAACTGGCACCTGAGTCTCACAACCACCATTCGGTAGGCGCTGGCACTTCCTGCTGTCAGTGGGTGATGGTCTCAGTGCGCACAATCAGAATGCAGGAGGCTGTGGGGGGCAGAGCAATCACATGGGCTTCTGTGACTGTAGCCAGTGGGCAAGTTCCTGTAACCCCAGGTTCACAGGAGGGGCCTTGGCTCCAAGGGTGCCAAGGAGCAGGAACAGTGAGCATGGGTGCAGGGTTTAACAGCAGGTTTTCCCTCTGCTCTCCACAGGCAGCTGAGCACCAGGCCCACCAACTCAGGCAGTTAGAAGGATGCCAGAGTAGAGCCGCCACTGCAGCATGCCGAACAGCATACATGGGGGTCATATGCTGAGATGTTCTGCCAGAGCCGGTTATGCATGGGGTGGGACCTGCCCCAACCTCCATGCAGATACCAACACTTTTGTGTATGTCAAGTGTCACTTCCTATACCCAAGAGTTTCTTCAAACATGGGTGCCTAAGGATTGGTATTGAAAGCTTGATGTAAGGCACTTTCACAGGAGCTGAGAACTCAGCATCTTTCATAACCAGGAATAAATTCACTCAGTTTGGCCATAACAGCACAGTGTTTCCAGCAAGACAGAGGTAGTTGTCCTTCCATGATAGACTATTCTACAACAGCATTTTCATAGAACCGTAGAAGTAGGGTCGGAAGGGACCTTATAGATCTTCAAGTCCGACCCCCTGCCAGGGCAGGAGAAAAAACTGGGCTCAAATGATCCCAGCTAGGTAGGCATCAAGCCTCCTCTTAAAGACCCCCAGGGTAGGAGCCAGCACCACTTCCCTTGGAAGTTGGTTCCAGATCCTAGCCGCCCTAACTGTGAAGTAGTTCTTACGGATGTCTAATCTAAACCTACTCTCCAACAACTTGTGGCCATTATTCCTTGTTATGCCAGGGGGAGCTCGGGGAAACAAGGTCTCTCCCAAACCCTTCTGGTCCCCCCAGTGAGTTTATAGACTGTCACCAGGTCCCCCTGTGGATTTTAACTGTATGTAGTTTGTAATTCTCAGGTACTGAGGGTTTCTTCTGATCAAGATGAATAAAATAATTTGCCAGAGAAGTGGCTAAAACTTTAGCTTCCTCCTATAGAGTGAGGACTAGTTACAAAGCAAGCCTTAGCTGCATTTACAACTTAATCACCAGATTACAAGAAAGCAGGTAAATTAAGTGTGCCTGAAATACAGAGGTGGTGCTGGTCCGTAGTGATCACGTCTTAATATGATAAGGAAATTTAATATACTGATATAGGTAATGGTATGCAGGATCATATTCTTAAGAACAAGCATGCCCAAACTTCCAAGAATCCCTGGCTTAAGCAGAAAGACAAAAAGACAGATAAGGTAGTAATTCTGTGCTTTCTCTCATTATGAACCTCACT